AATCCTCACAGATAGAATATTCCGAATGCATGACCTTGGTCACCATGGTGGTCACAATTTACATGTGTGAATATTGGAAAAAACAAATATACACTCATACAAAAGCATTTTCTTTCGTGTTCACATTCCTTTCATGCCTTTCATTCTCCTGTCAGTTTCCTGTCAGTTTCCTTTCACTTCCTTCCATGTTCCTTCTATTTCCGTCAATCATATCTTTGTTTTACGTTCACCTTATTTAATTTCCCTCCTTTCCTTTTGTTCATTCATGTCCTTCTGATGTTCCTCTGGTTTCCCTTTCCGTTCGTCTCATTTTCCTTCTCATCTTCCTTTCATGTCCCTTTCATTTTACTCTCTTGTCACTTCAGTTTCCTTCCCTTTTTCCTTCAAGTCATTCCATTTTTCTTGTACGTCCTGTCATTTTTCAAAATCATATCGAATTTCCGTGCATATTCGTTTCAAATTTTGTTCATGGTCCTTGGTTCTTTTCATGATCTTCCTTGCTCGTTTATGCATCGGGGTGCCAATTCATTATGTGATAATGTGCAGCAGTTTTAAAGCGGTCTAACTTTTGTGCATAGGGCCTCATGCTTTAAAATGCACAAAAACAATGAGAACTGGTTCTGCTATAAAATGCGGTTCCAGCAAATTCACGCCGAATTGGCATCCAAGTTCATCCAAATTCGAAGACCTTCAGAAATGCCTCTTTAAAAAGGGGACAGGAAATTCTTTTTAGAAAGAGGTATTTTTGAGTGAAGGTGCTCAAATATTTAATGGTGTTCTTCTTTTATAGCATTCTGTAGCAACAAAATACGGTGGCATTCTTTCGTAGCAATTCCTTAAAATTCCTTAAAAATCCTTTAAATTCCTTAAAAATCAAAAAAACTCATCAAGATTCCTTCAAAATCCTTTAAACTTATTAAAATCCGTAAAAATCTTTCAAATTCCGTCAAATTCCTTTCAGATTCTTGCAAATTCCTTAAACTTACTTCCTTGAAATTCCTTTAAGATTCCTGAAAATTCCTTTAAGATTCCTTAAAATTCATTTAAATTAAAAAAAACAAACTGAAAATTCCTTTAACATCCTTTAGAATCATTCGAAATCCTTGAAAATCTTTCAAATTCCTTCAAATTCCGTCAAATTCCTTTAAAATTCCTTCAACTTCCTCTAAGATTCCTTCAAAGTCCTTAAAACTCCCTAAATTCCTTGAATTTCCTTATAATTCCTTTCAAATTCCTTTAAATTTCCCCAACATTCCTTAAAATTCCTTAGGATTCCTTCAAATTCCTTCAAATTCGCAGATCTAAAATGACATGCCCAATAAAATTGATATAAAGAGATCCTCGAAAAGCACTGGTTCCATTCTGCAATAAAATGCTCCAAACACTCAATTTGTTTAAAATTAGAATGGAATTTTAACATGTTAAAAATCATCAGGATTTCCCTGGCCAATAAAATGCTCAGACCAACCCCTTAACAATAAAATGACTAACCTGACTCCAATTTTGAAATTCCAATACATTACGGATCTCGCTTAGACTATGCACAAGTCATCCATTTCTAGTGTGGAAATTGCCACGGGGATGTTTATGTGTCTTTTCAATTCTTTATTTCTTCCGATGTTCTGCTATCTTCCTTTCATTTTACGTTACTTTATTTGTGTTTATTTCATGTCCTTCCACTTTCCTTTCATGCGCGTTACTTCCATGTCCTTCCATTATCTGTTCATATCCATATCCTTTCATTGTCCCTGCATGCCATGTCCAAATCCTCACAGATAGAATATTCGGAATGCATGACCTTGGCCACCATGGTGGTCACAATTTATATGTGTGAATCTTGAAAAAAACACATATACACTCATACAAAAGCATTTTCTTTCGTGTTCACATTCCTTTCATGCCTTTCATTCTCCTGTCAGTTTCCTGTCAGTTTCCTTTCACTTCCTTCCATGTTCCTTCTATTTCCGTCAATCATATCTTTGTTTTACGTTCACCTTATTTAATTTCCCTCCTTTCCTTTTGTTCTTTCATGTCCTTCTGATGTTCCTCTGGTTTCCCTTTCCGTTCGTCTCATTTTCCTTCTCATCTTCCTTTCATGTCCCTTTCATTTTACTCTCTTGTCACTTCAGTTTCCTTCCCTTTTTCCTTCAAGGCATTCCATTCTTCTTGTATGTCCTGTCATTTTTCAAAATCGAATTTCCGTGCATATTCGTTTCAAATTATGTTCATGGTCCTTGGTTCTTTTCATGATCTTCCTTGCTCGTTTATGCATCGGGGTGCCAATTCATTATGTGATAATGTGCAGCAGTTTTAAAGCGGTCTAGCTTTTGTGCATAGGGCCTCATGCTTTAAAATGCACAAAAACAATGAGAACTGGTTCTGCTATAAAATGCGGTTCCAGCAAATTCACGCCGAATTGGCATCCAAGTTCATCCAAATTCGAAGACCTTCAGAAATGCCTCTTTAAAAAGGGGTCAGGAAATTCTTTTTAGATAGAGGTATTTTAGAGTGAAGGTGCTCAAACATTTAATGGCTTTCTTCTGTTTATAGCATTCTGTAGCAACAAAATACGGTGGCATTCTTTCGTAGCAATTCCTTAAAATTCCTTAAAATTCCTTGAAATTCCTTAAAATTCCTTAAAATTCAAAAAAACTCATGAAAATTCCTTAAAAATCATTTAACATCATTAAAACCCGTAAAAATCTTTCCAATTCCGTCAGATTCCTTTAAGATTCTTTAAAATTCCTTAAGCTTCCTTGAAATTCCCCTAAGATTCCTGAAAATTCCTTAAACTTCCTTGAAATTCCTTTAAGATTCTTAAAATTCCTTAAATTCCTTAAAATTCCTTTAAGATTCCAAAAAAATCCTTCAAATCATTCAAAAATCCTTAAAATCATTTGAAATCCTTGAAAATCTTTCAAATTCCTTCAAATTCCGTCAAATTCCTTTAAAATTCCTTCAACTTCCTCTAAGATTCCTTCAAAGTCCTTAAAACTCCCTAAATTCCTTGAATTTCCTTGTAATTCCTTTCAAATTCCTTTAAATTTCCCCAACATTCCTTTAAGATATGGTTGACGGAAACGTTTCGATTTTGTTCTAAAATGACAGGACATAAAAATCAAAGGCACATGAAATGAGCATGAAAGGAAGTGAAAGGTACATGAAAGGAGCATAGATACAAGGAAATAGAAAAACATTTGGAACCATAGGCTGGGAACATGAAAGGAAAACAGAAGGACAATGAAAGGAACTGAAAGCAATCATCCTTTTGCTGATGTTACAGTTGCTACGTTGTCAACCTCACTTTACATAGGTATGGTGCAATATTCATGACATATTTGTACCCTCAGTGGAAGCACTTTACATAGGCATTGTGGCTATTTATGGCTATCTATACCCACTTTTTTGAAGCATTTTACATAGGTACGGCTTGTTGTTTTACCGGGTCCGTGGAATATTCTATCTGTCTATAGCTATCTTAAGTTAAGCAAATTTTATTTTTTAAGGTTTGAACTAAACCTATTTTTCCAACTTTTTTTTTGGTGTGATTTAGTAATATTCACCTGGTAAAATGCAAGTTTTTGGATGATTTTTACCGGTATCTTTTGAATATTCTATCTGTGAAAGCATTCTATCTGCTAGAAATGCGTTTAGTTCAAGCCAAACAAAATATTTTTTTGAACTAAAATATTCTCTCTGGTAGAAATTGACTATATCTCTTTGATTAGCGCACAGTATGGCTGCACGGTTCCTGCCAAGTCAACTGACTATGTCAAACACCTTAGTTTCATAGACTTCAACAGGGAACAAGGCTTCCAATACCTTCCAATTCCTGGAGGCCGGTCAGCATCTATATGAATTGATTTAGAGCAGTACTACTCGCCCAAAAAACTGTGCTTCTGCAACCGCGTCTCAAATGTACGAGCAAGAGTTGCATCATCTGGTACTTAGTGCTGAAGGCAAAGGTGGCAGGATGATTTGACACGCCCTTTCTTTGGTCCCCAGAATCGTCAAGACTGCCAGCTTTTGCATTCGCGACACACGTCCAAATTCTATAGGTTGGTGCTCACAGCCTGTCCCATGATCTGGTTCAATCATCCCAAATCTGCATGATAAAGAAGCCAATTGTGAAAACAATCGCCAACATTTTTTGGATTGGTGGCACGGCGGTCTAAGCGCCAATTCCCACTTGTTGTGTAGCTGTTCTTCCCATTTTTTCGGCTGAAATCTGGCACCAACCCGCTTGGCGCGCCATCCCAAAACCCTCTGATCATCTGCCGGATCAAGGTCCCTGGAGGATGAAGATTCAAGGCTTCGGGAACTGTACAGAGCTGGGTCAAATGAGGCAACAAGATGCAACAATGATGCAACCCCCTGCTTGCCCCAAGAAACGACCCACTGATGTGTGCTAGCCACTAGTCCATTACAAATTGATGGCATGATTCCAACGCATAGGCGAAGACGAAGAAAACAGGCGATAAACTGATCGTTGTTGGTACATGTGGATGTTTAACTCAAACCAAACCAAGACCTCGTAAAGTTTGCTTAGTCCATGGCCACTCTAATCCGTATTCCGCCAAGCAACACACGTGAAATCTGTGATCGGCCACAAAAAAACATGTATCACCAAAGACATCCCATACTTCGCCCCGGTCCCAGCAAGGGAAGACCCGGTCCGGCCTTGTGAGAAGAAGTTCTGAAGCACCGCAGTTGTGCACTTCCTGCGGGTTTGTTTGAGGTGACAATGGGCCATTCACAGCAGTTCTGATGGCAAAATGTTGCCATTTTGTTCCCCCAAAGATCGGCTGGCCCCGGATTTGGATGGTATCCAGTCGGACGCTCTACCACTGAAGAAGTAAAACCATGGATCTTTGGGCGTCAAAAAGTTCTTGACCCACCACTATATTGGAACATCATATTCCTGAGAAGCGACATGTTTGCCTCCCTGCTTCTTGGGCACAATTCTTTGCCATCCATGTCCACAAAACCATTGAAACATTCTAAAACTCATATTTCACGCCCTCATTCACGTGCCAAGTCAATCCATTAGCATACCATTCGTATCCATTCGTTACTAAAGGTGGTTTGTTGAAACTGGTGTCTTGTGAGGGCCCCGAGATGGGAACCAACACGGACCAACCCCTTCCGGCCGCAGAAGTCGCATCCGGCGCGATCGCAGCCTTGGTGCTGTGACCCACGGTGAAGATCATATCATGGATCGTAAGTGGCTAATACCCTCAGTTGACAAATCTCAGATCTAAAAATTAATATATGCTATGTCTGTACATTATATTTATACAAACGGGAATATAACTCATCTATGGAGTGATTTTTGGATTACATTATAAATGCTACTAAGCGGGGTGATCCTCCATCCCATGCCGTTCTGACCACCCGGACCCGAGCTCCAGTGGTGGAGAAATGGGCACAAATCAAGAAAAAATAAAGATACTAAAGTGATATGCTAGGCCTGCATGAACTCTTGCCATCCAATGACTTTTATGTGGTTCTTCAAGAATGAAACTAGAGTGTGAATCATCAGACTGTGGCTCGCACTTCCATCCTCAACACTCTTTGGAACTGTTTTTTCCAGCGTGACCCTTATAGGCATCACTCATGAAACTCGGATGCCTTAGGCATCACTCCTGAAACTCGGATGCCTTAGGCATCATCTATTGTTGTTCTGATGTTGCTGAATAAATCTGTAGAAGTCGCCCACATCGTGCTCCTCGTAGGGGATGCGCAAGCGATCTAACCATGCGACTTCTGCGGTTTGCGACTTGCCTAAGCCCGTGCTATCGCGAACCTCCTGCAGTTTCGTCTCATCTTTGAGGTCCTGCAAGGTTGTCTGGTTATTCTGGCCGGGGCAAAATGGCCAAAGCAACAGCAAAAAACATGTTTCAGTTTGGACTTTAGATTTTGCTTGATCTTGTTGGATGTTTTTTGGCTAGTTGCTTCTTCTGCGATTCAATGCGATTCTTGTCAAACCCTGCCCTGTCCTTCCAAGCCATTTTCCCACATCCCACTTTCCCTTCAAAGTAGAAAACGTGAAACTTTTGCCCTTGCTGACCGGCTTTGTCCACGTTCTCCTTCCAGTCGGCAAACCAACGGCACCCCCAGGGCGCGCGGTAGCGGTTCTCCTTGCATTTGGCGGCCGCTTTCAAGAGTGCTTCTTTCTTCCTCGCGGTCCAGGAAGCATCATTTTCTGCTTGCCGAATGAGGAGAACCTGGCCCATCGCCTCAGCATCGCTTTTCTGGAACAACAACTTCTGTTCCGTCAGGTCCTCCTCGACTGCGCTGAGGTAGGTGCTGGATCCACGTTCCCATAGAGTGCTTGGCAGAAACAATTTCCGCATCCTTCAGGATCTTCAACGTGGTCGCCGAGCCCGCTCTGCTTATCGGTTAAGAAAACACAGGCCAAGCTGCAGAGGCTTGACTGTCCCTGTGCTTCCTTAACCGCATCATCCCACTCCTTAGCGCTCCAGCATGTGATCGACATCTCCCGGAAACTTCAAAACATGTCAAAACTAAAGCAGGGTGATGGCATCCATGGGGTTGTTTTTTGCGTGTATAAACTTAAAGTTTAAGGTGATTGAAAGTATAATGTAGCCCGACAGCCTTCACAGTTTACAGCTTAGACTTACTTTGGGGTGTTCTGGGTAACGGCCACGGCTGAGCAAACAGCAACCGCTCCAGAAAATGGTACTCACTTGTGGCCGCTAGCCTGTGGCTTCTAAAATATCTACTATTATGAGAATTTCTGCGAGCCACAAAATGGAAAGCATATGAAAGCATCATATTGTGACCCATATTTCCCCTTTTAATCCCAATCTAATCCTCATTCTGGAACATCACCAAAATCATCATTTCCTCACGCATCCTGATTCTGAAAACTTTGTGCGCAGGTAATGAAAATATCATCGAATCTGCATGTGCCATTCAAAACGTGATGCGTTAATGAAGGTTTCAAATTGTTTCAAAATGATTTTAGGAGAATGAAAATTAAATGACGATGTTTCGCCAGTAAAGAAGGAAACTACAATTGTTCAACTAATAAAATGATGATGATGATGATGATGAGGATGATGATGATGATGATGCCCCTGGTTCAAAAATATGTTTGGTTCGAAGATAAACTCAGGATTTCATGGTCGTTTCAGGAACAAGTGATGTTTTTGGACGATGTAATAAAGATTTGTCGGTGATTTACTGAGCACTTGATGAGGACCTCAGGAGAAAAACATTGTTCTTTAGAAACTTAAATGATGTCAAGCATATGTTTTTTGCCTAGCCTGGGTTGCACTTGGATCAAGGACCACTGAGTGTCTCAATAAACGTCATGCTGCTCTCTTCCGACCTATGCTGGAACCACAAATGCTGGTCGTGCCACATGCAACTTCAATGCCGCCCTCTAGGCCATCCAAAATATCCCAAAAAGTAAAACCCCAAAAGCTCCTGCTAGGCTAATTTCTAATTATTAGGTTGTTTCAATTTTGAAGGTTATTTTCTATCTATTAGGTTATTTCATTTCTTGACTATTAGGTTGTTTGTCTTTTTGCCCAAATAGGTTATTTATATGAATAACATTTTTTCTTTAGGTTATTTATATGAATAGCCTTTTTTTTCTGTTTGTTGTTTTGATGAAAAAGCTACGGTTTTTTTTTTCAAATTGCTTCTTTGAAAAACAGACTTTTTTATCAACAACCTCAAAGATGCTCAGCATTTTGTGACTATAATTGGAAGCAAAAAATCGAAGAATATCAAAACAGGTCACACAAGAAAACAAGCGTAACTTGATGTCTTTTTCAAGTTTAGGTTGAAAAATGGTTCAAGATCTTGAAGCCTTGGGAGTTTCTGGATGCCCGCGGCTTCACTGGTAGTGATGCTTGGCTAGATCAAATACAAGAGCATCAGCCTAGGAATGGCACCTATGTTGGGGCTATCCTGCACATTTTTGGCATGTGTATTTGATAGACTTGGGTGGAAGCTGTATTCGACACCATGTCATGGGCCTTTGGTGGGCTTATGTTGGGTCACTTGGTGGCTCTGCTGGGCCTATGTTCGGCCTATGTTGAGCAAAAAGATGCCGCCATTTGGGCTTATGTTCAGCCAATTTCAACCCAGACCTAAGAAAAATTAGGTCTGGGTTGAGGAAAACCGCCCTTTTCCGGGGCATGCCCCAGCCATATTGGGCCTATCCTGTGCCAAGTTGGGGGTATGTTGGGCCTATCTTGCAGCAATTGGCACATCCACTGCTTGGGCTACACGTCGCAATTTTACATTGTGTAGAGTTAAATTTGACATGACGCATTTTTTGGCTTAAAATGAGGCTGTCCAGCAACATGCAAATATATCAGTGGAATATTTTGTTTGGATGGAACAAGCCAACACGGGATGGAAACAAAAGAACAATGTATGTGTATGTGTATATATGTGTTTTTCTACATATTGAATCATATTGATTTGTTTTTTCTATTTATTTATTTGTTTATTTCATTTTATCTATTTACGTATTTTTTTAAAAATCGATGCATGTATATCTACATATAGACATGTGCTGCAACAGTGGCAATGGACAGTTTTTTCTGGGCGCCAAACATTATTTTCAACATTTGTTTAAAACAAAACTTCCATGAATTAAAAACGTGCAAAACCAAACGCCCAAGATGGTAAATCAACAATTGTGAAAACAAAGGTTGACCATATAATTTGCAAGCTGCATTGGTGTGGAAAAACGGATTTCACGAAAAATCGCAGAATACATTGGAATTCATGGGTGCTCCTGGGGCTTCATGTGCGTTCATGGGTGCTCACTGGTGTTCATCTGTTTTTGCTTGGTTGTTTGGTTGTTTGTTTGTTTGTTTGATTGTTTGATTGTTTTTAAAACCCCACCCAGTTTTTGATCTTGAAAAAATGGGATTGAAATGGAGGTCCCTGAGTGACTGTTCAGCTTTGGACGGGATTGGTAATAAACCACAGGCTGGAGAACACCAAGAGAAACGCATTTTGTGAAATCTGTGTGAACGCTGGGCGGCAATACTTTTTATAAACAAAAACCACAGGTTGGATGGGGTTTTACCTGTAAAAACAAGTGGTGGGCAAAAACATATTTGACCAAATGCTCTGCAAGGATTGGTTGTAGAAAAAATCCAGGACACAAAACTGGTGGTTTTGCTTAATGCGCCGCCTTTGGAGTGCAGCAACTGTGCCTTAGGGACCCCGACCCATCACTAAGGAGTGTCCCCCAAAAAATCCCCAGACACCAAGATTTGCCAATGACGTGGGATGATCAGCCTTTCTATTTCTGAAGGCAGTTAAACGCGCATTTTACCTATAATTTGGGGTCCCCAGCCTTTAAATTTATTGAAAAGCAAGGCCAACCCAGAGCCAATGTATCACTAAAGGCCTGCGATCTGGAAGTCGCGGTTGAGGTCCGGCAGTGCCCACTGGGATCTGGAGCTCGCGGTGGAGGTCCGGCCACCTGGCAGGTGGGGAATTGTAAGGTATTGAGGTGTAAGTTTACATGTAAGTTTGATGTAAGTTTGGTGTAAACTTACACCCCATGAAGTGTAAGTTTGATGTAAACTTACACCAAACTTACACCTCGATACCTTACAATTTGACCAAAAACATGTTTTTTTCAAAAGAAAAACATTGTTGTTTTCAAAAAAACACTTGCCATTTTTTCAAAAATACCGTTGTTTTTGAAGAAAAAACAGTTTTTCCCCAAAGAAAATGTATTTTTGAGAAAAAAAACTGTCAAGCACACACTTCCTTGGATAGATTTTTCCATGTTTAAGCCAATGAAATTGATGGCTGAAGCGCCCCAAGTCATGCAAAACAATTGGATCAACTTTTTCAGGGCATAAATTTGACATCCAGCAATGCCCAAGTGATTGACTGACTGTGGGTTGCAACGCCTTTTTTTCAAACATAGATTCCGGAAAAACAATCCTTTAGTGATACATTGGCTCTGGGTTGGCCTTACTTTTCAATAAATTTAAAGGCTGGGGGCCCCAAATTATAGGTAAAATGTGCGTTTAACTGTCTTCAGAAATAGAAAGGCTGATCATCCCAAGTCATTGGCAAATCTTGGGGTTTGGATGTTTTGTCATGAATTGTCATGAATATAAATGTCAGGGCTGGAGGCTCGCCTCAGTGATGGGTCAGGTTCGCTAAGGCACAGCTGTTGCATTCCAAAGGCGGCGCATGAAGCAAAAATAACAATTTTGTGTCGTGCAGTTTATACCAAAGGAAACTTTAAATACATCCAATCGTCACCAAGCACCAAGCACTTGATGGACCTTGACATGTTTTGGTTTATAAGATTGTTGCTGCCCATCATTAACGTGATTTCGCAAAGTGTTTTTCAAACCCAGGGTTTGCCAAGCACTTGGGGTTCTCCAACCTTTATATAAATGTATTGCAAAAAAAAACTAAAACAATCCAGTCCAAGGTTGAACAATCACTCAGGGACCTCCTCTTAAAACCTATGTTTATCTCAATAAATGGATGGATGGAACCAAAAAAAACATCAAACAAACATGAACACCGGTGAGCGCCCATGAACGCACATGAACACCCATGATCACCAATGAATTTAAATGTATCCCATTGATTTTTCATTGATTTTCCAAAACACTGCAGTTTGCAATTTATATTTTCAGGCTTTGTTTTTTTTAATGGTTGATTTATCATCTTGGGTGTTTGGTCTTGCGTGGTTTTAAGTCAAAGTATTTTGTTTACAAAACTTGAAAATCATAATAGTTTTTTTTTCATCCTCGCTGGTTTGGAACCCAGAAAAACTCTCCATTGCCATTGTTGCAGCACATGTTTATATATATATATAGATATAAACATATAGATCTAGATCAATACAAAGATAAATGAATATATATATATATAACATATATATATGTTGCTTTGTGTTTCCATCCCTTGTTGGTTTGCCCATCCAAACAAAATAGTCTTTGCAAGTTGCTGGACAGCCGCATTTTAAGCCAAAAAATGCGTCATGTCAAATTTAACTTTATACAATGTAAAATTGCGACGTGTAGCCCAAGCAGTGGATGTGCCAATTGCTGCAAGATAGGCCCAACATACCCCCAACTTGGCACAGGATAGGCCCAATATGGCTGGGGCATGGCCCAAAAAGGACGGTTTTCCGCAACCCAGACCTAATTTTTCTTAGGTCTGGGTTCAAATTGGCTGAACATAAGCCCAAATGGTGGCATCTTTTTGCTCAACATAGGCCGAACATAGGCCCAGCAGAGCCACCAAGTGACCCAACATAAGCCCACCAAAGGCCCATGACATGGTGTCGAATACAGCTTCCAACCAGGTCTATCAAATACACATGCCATAAATGTGCAGGATAGCCCCAACATAGGTGCCATTCCTAGGCTGATGCTCTTGTATTTGATCTAGCCAAGCATCACTACCAGTGAAACCACGGGCATCCAGAAACTCCCAAGGCCTCACAAAAGATCTTGAACCATTTTTTCAACCTAAACTTGAAAAAGACATCAAGTTACGTTTGTTTTCTTTTGTGGCCTGTTTTGATATTCTTCGAATTTTTGCTTCCAATTATAGTCACAAAATGATGAGCATCTTTGAGGTTGTTGATTAAAAAAAGTCTGCTTTTCAAAGAAACAATTTGAAAAAACAAAACGTAGCTTACTCATCAAAACAACAAACAGAAAAAAAGGCTATTCATAGAAATAACCTAAGGAAAAAATGTTATTTGATCATTCTGACTATTAGGTAAAACAGTTGTTTTACCTAATAGGTAAAAACAAAATTTAACTAATAGTCAGAAAACAACCTAATCCCTTCCTCCTAATACTAAACCCCCCCCCTAATACAAAACACGGCAGGTAGTTTTTAGTATTAGGGGGGTATTTATTATTAGGGAACCAAATCGAAGTCATGTTAATTAATTAATTAAATTTATTATATATACGCAATCTAAAATTCTAAAAAATTAGGCATAATTACCCCTAATACTAAATTAAAACCCTTAATAATAAAAACTATTTTTTCCGATCTCAAAATCAATTAAATTTCCTTATATAACGCAATTAAAATATTGCCAAAAATGGCAGTTCGAAGCTTACCCCTAATACTAAATTAAAACCCTTAATACTAAAAACTATTTTTTCCGATCTCAAGATCAATTAAATTTCTTTATATAACGCAATTAAAATATTGCAAAAATGGCAGTTCGAAGCTTACCCCTAATACTAAATTAAAACCCTTAATACTAAAAACTATTTTTTCCGATCTCAAAATCAATTAAATTTCCTTATATAACGCAATTAAAATATTGCCAAAAATGGCAGTTCGAAGCTTACCCCTAATACTAAATTAAAACCCTTAATACTAAAAACTAGCCCCCCTAATACTAAACACCCCGGGATGAATTAGTTTTTAGTATTAGGGGGGAGAACCCACAAATGGTAGGTTGATTTTTGAATTGTTTTTTAAAGGGGATCAATTAAAAGTCAAATTGGCCAAACTGAAATTTTCGGAAATTGGAGATGGATGCCTGTTTTTAGTATTAGGGGGACGTTTAGTATTAGGAGGAAGGGATTAATAGATAGAATTTAGCCTAACCAGAGCTTTTGGGACACTTGTAACAAACGACTTGCATGACTTGACAAGCATATCAGAATCAAAGGACAGGAGCTGCAATCAAGTTTCAGGACTCCCTGGAATGAAATTCTATGGCATCATTCATCGCATTTTCGAGGAAATCACGGGAAACTCAGATTATGGCCAAGGGATGCCAAGGGTCTTTGCTATACTTGCCCGGGAAGCTTACAATGCAATCCTCGGCTTCTGGGTTCACCTTCCCTGGGAAAGCGATTCGCTTGCCCTGGAGTCTTGCCGTGTTGCCTAGGTCTTGCAGAGTCTCGGCCTCAAATCCAAGGACGTGAATCGTGACAAACATGAAAAAGGCATCCAAAGCAAGGTACCAGGCAAAGCCAACCTTAGGAACAACGAAATGCTCTGCTAGTGGCATATAGACTGAATCCCAAATGCTAAGAACTGCAGCACATCGAAGAAAGAAGACCTCTCGATCAACTTGCTCTGCCCAGTTCTTCCGAATCTCTCGAAATTTGGATGCTTCGTCTGCTGCCGCCCACAAGGCCCATGCCTGCAACCCCGTGGCAAGGATCAGAAATGACCAGCTCGCAACTGCCCATCCCAGTTTCGGCAGGCCAAGCAACCAGCGAAGCGACAACCAAAAGCACCACATAATTAAAGAAGAAATTGCCGCCCCCAGCCACCCAAGAACACCCAGCTTCAGAATCGTCAAAGACATGAGACCTATGTGGTCGACCCAAGACATTTCAATCTGAATGCGCTGCCGCTCCTCAGTGGGCGGCTCCCCGAAGCCTCTCAAGACCTCATGCTCCCACACCGAGAGCACAGAGAAAATTTCGAGGGACGCGATGAGGCTCATCATTTCCATCCTGAAATCCTTTGACCTTCCCAAGCGCAGGATACAGGATGCCATGCCAAGGGCACCAAGGAGTGGGAGGATGATGGCCTGGGCCCAAGCAGACCAGACCAAGGCCTCAGGTGCGAGGCCTGGCCCACAGAACCACGGCAGCCATTTTTGGAAAATTTCTGGGTGAGGCGGGTCATTGATGACTTGGAAGTTCTTCACCACCACCAACACAGTGGAAGCTAGGACTAAGCACATAAGGAGCAGCTTGCATTCCTGAGATCGCACGCACCTGTCCATGCACCTGAGCAGGTTCCTATGTGCGTTCTGAGCCTCTCTCCTGGTTTGAGGAGTGGCTAAGTTTTGGGCCTCATCATCTGAGGTGGTCGATAGACGGCCATAAGTTGTCAAGAACATGGCTTCGGAAGACTGAAGCTGTGTCTGGAACTGTGAAACTCTGACCCCTCCTCAGCTGCTCGTTTGAACTAAAAATCCTTGGCAAATCCCCTATCATTTTAAACATATCTTATATATGTTAATATCCGGATTTGTCTCAAAAATCGTCAGCCCTTCAAAAACGGACGATATACAAAAGGCCACAACAGGTCTAGCAAGTATAATCACCAACAACCAAAAAACATCCCAAAATAGCTCACATTGATGATTTCATGATATTTCATGCTTTTTCATGATGGTTTTGTTTCCTTGAAATAACGGCACTTTTTGTTCGCCCCTCGTTGAAAAATCCTGGTCGCCCATTCGGGCCTGGGACCTTGGGCCGTGAGGAACGTTCCAGTGAGCCGTGCTTTTAAGAGTGGTCTAGCTACCAAACAGACCGGGATTTATTGGGATTTCGCCAACAAGAATACGGGAAATATCATGGGAATATGGAATATGTATAGGTTTTTTTTTACAGCAAAATGACCACTCTGAGCATTCAGGATACTGACATGTCATTTCAATGGATTCATTCAATGGATAGGATGCGAACCGGGCCATGGAGGACATAAGAAGGCCTCAGGTGTACCAAACATTTGGCCAAGACTTGAACATTGCATGGACCCGCAATCCTATATACCTACGTAATTATGTCACGAAGTGTGTTTATTATACATATATATATATGTATCAATGAAAAGTTGGAGGATGTTATATATGTTTAATATTGAAAATATACGTTATATATGTTATAAGTCTAAGTTATAACAGGACAAATAATCAAGTATGTTTAAAGTTATACATACATTATTATATATATATACGTATGATGCGATGCGATTAGAACTACACACAAGATCACACAAGTTCCCTCGGGGTGTGAGCAGAATGATCAGAATGGGCCGCATCATTGCAGGTATCCCAGAATTTACTCGATTATGTGGACTCCGGGGCCTCTGAGCCATACTTATGCAGTTTTGGACTGGGTTCTTGCATCCAAGACATTTGGGCTGGGGGTTGGGTATGGCCATGAGTGAAACTCCAGGTTGGAAACTCTAAAGTTAGATTCGAGAATTAGACTACTTATATACAGTATTTAAATTGTCTTCAGTTGCACACTGCAGGGATGGGAACCGAAAAAAAATAAACGACCAGCCGATCTGTGAGCACTGAGGCTCACTGCCACATCCGGTGCCATGGCATTGCTGCTGTGCCTACCGTCCCTCTGAGCCATTGCTCGCATGGGTTGTATTGAAGAAGTCATGCCCCTCAACAGGGGTTGTGTGACTTGTCAGATCTGCGGATTGCACAATATTAGCAGAGTCCCAATTCAAAGAGACAGAAGGATATGCAATAGTTCTGGGGCAAGATCGGACATACTGTAGCCTTGATGAAAGCCAGTCAATGTGGTATCTAATTGAGTCAGCGGCGATGCGTATATTGAAAACTAAAAAATGTCTGGCAATAATTAGTAATAATAGCTGGTCCTTAAGTCCTTGGGTTGTCAAGGATGTCAAGGTCCTACAGTAGCACCGTAATTTTGTAGACTTCCACTGGGAACAAGACTTTGAGTTGCCGGGTACTTCTCAACATCTACATTGATGTAGAGCTTCAAATCTGGCGATCGATATGTTGGCCCAAACACCAAGGGTTGAATCATCTGATACTCCCTTCCTCGCATCTGGCTGCAGCTCCAATGGGCAAGGATGGCAGTCGGCCAGTTCTTCCGGGTGCCTTTTTCATTTGCAGCCAGCCTCTTCCCAGGTGACACGCGCCTAGTCTCTAGAGGCATTAATTTTGAATTTCGCTCCACGCAGGTAAAACGGTTCCAACGAACTTGACAGGTTGGTGAGGACAGCCTGTTCCAAGCATCGACGTCAATCATCCCCAATCCCTGTGATAAATGATACAGTACTTGCTTGAAAACAATCACCCCCAAACAAACATATGGTTCGCGATACTCCGACTTCTTGTTGGTTCCATCATTGTTCTCTTTTCATTTCTGACTGAACTCTGGCACCAACCAGCCGGTTCTGGGACCTAAAAAAACTGCTACGGCTTCTGCCACGGCCATAGGGCCCCTTTGATCTGACGGAGCCATCCATGGGGCGCATCAGCAGGGCTCCTGGGGCACATCCCGTTTGGGGATGGTTACCGGTTACCGCCCATCTATGGTCACACTGAGGGATTCATTGTTTGCTCTATCACTTCATAATCAATGCCACCACTGCCCAGAGAAAAAAGACAAAACATGACAACACCTCATTTGTAGCTGAACAGATTCTAGAGAGAAGATATTCTTGGGCAAAACCACTAGCCTCTTTACCCAATCAAGGTTTTTCTGGCAAGCCTGGCAAGCCCAAAGAGATTTCACCAACCGATGCGCGGAAACTCATGAGGTCGTCTGGGACGAGGTCGTACTGTTCCACTTTTTTAACATCTTTACTTTAAACCACCATTTCAACATGATGCATCCCATCAAATTCCCAAATCGGGGGTCCTTGCTCGGCCCTTCGTCATGCAATTCCTCACGCACTTCCTGTGGCATTGCCTCTCTTGGCACCTCTCGAGCCGCCGCCACGCCGTCTGCAAGAGCCAAATATGCTGGAGGTGGGCGTTGTTTTCCAGTCCTTGGTGTGTTGGGACAACCCTTGAAGTCAATGACCTGCCAGTGACCTTCATGCGGAAAATCTATCATTTGTAGATCGTGTTTATGAGGAAACATTGTGTGTTTTCGATAATGTGTTGCACTGCGCTGAGTGCATGTATTGACCAAGACTACTGACAAGACATCAAACTTAGACATAATTCACCATTCTTTTTGAGTCTGCCCAGGCATCCACACTTTCCCAGCTCTACTTGAAACATGGTTGATCTCGTAAATGCCACCCAAGAAAGAGGTCATTGCAGTCGGATATACAAAGATTCCTCTACTCGACAAGGTTCCGGCTTTTCCTCCGAAAACATGCCATCTTTAGTTCGCCACCATCACTTCAAAATGATCGAAATGATCCCTAAAAAAACGTTTTAAAAAAAAAACGTAGGAACTCGTCAGCAACGTCACTGATGAACGCGTTCTGTAAAGCAGGCTACGCTACATAATCCTATGTTTTCCTTTGATCAACCTGCCTTTTCCTTAGACGGCCTTATGTTTTCTTATAAATGTTTCCCACTTTTTCCCATCACTGAAATTGCTGTTTCTGTCATGATCTGCAGCTGCAAACATTGAAGGTTCGTTGTTTTTTTCTGTCAGTGTCCTGCGGTTTCCTTCTGTCCTTAGATCTGAAAGACTTCCTTAGGTTTTCTTCTGGGGGTTCTTGCTTTTTCCTTACATGTTCTTTCGTTTCCTTAGGTTTAGATCTGGGCTGCTGCTTGGATTTTTTGCCTTGTTCTGAGATGTCCTTTCTCTCGGCTTACTTTGAGTTTCTTTTGATTTCTGAGGAGACAGGCGATGCCAAGGAAAAGGCTAACCCATCAAAGAAAATCTAAGCCAAAAGAATAGCTCAAACATGACTGTTGCTATGAGGTACCTTGGAAAACTGCCAAGAAATGGCAATCTCCAGAGACAACAGCTCCATATTTTTGAAGATGCAAACAGTAGTGCCTCCACAATACCTTGCTGGCTGGAACGTTTCACGGTTGGTTCCCCGTATGTTAACCATCATCTAGTGGGGTAGCTATATAATTTGCCCAGATTGATGTTGATGAATTCCTTGAATCCATCTCCCCAAAATATAATGTCAACACTCAAGAAACCCTGGGTGGATATGGTGGAGGTCATTCCAATTTTACTGTCGGGATTTTTTTTGGATATTCCCAATTCTCTTGATGCTAAGAGATTTCCATCGGCTGGTGACCATTTCAAATATCTTATAGTCGACTTTCATCTCAAAAAATCACCATACATAAGGCCCACGATTCACGGCATTCACAAAATATTCCCAGCGAATATGGCCTTGGGTGGATTTTAGGGCCCTGAAACTTCCACTGAAAAAGGTATACAATAGTTGTTGGAATAGCTATGAAATTATGAACAAACCGGTTATATTAGTTATATTCATGAATAACCCCAACTGCACCCCCAGGTATATCCCCATTACTCAGCAGAAAATGACCATCAATTTACCCATTAAACCCACACCGGCGCCGCGAAATTGCCCAAGCGACAGCCTCCTAGCCACCGGCCGTGCCGGCCGCGGCAGCAGTAGTTCGTGCACCATGCCGTGCAGCTGTCCTGCCGCCTTCGCCGTCGCTTGGCGCACAGCGTTCCTGAAAGGGGCGGTTGGGAGATGGTTCCAGTGGGACAGAGCTGGGATAAGATCCTGGAAAAATAGTGGGATTTAATGGGAAATGGTGGGATTTAATGTGATTCTATAGGGTTTAATGTGATTTTTATGGTAAGATGATCATGACGGCTTATACTTGGAGGATCACCACACGTTTCTCGTAAGTTAGCAACTGAGGTCAGTTCACCAATGGGATAAGCCTTGGACTCAGGGTATTACGATCACCGGGGTTCTTAAGATCCGGGACTTTCCAGCCCATCTATTGGGATCTGTGCGATGCGCAGTACTTTTGAGATATAGTTCCACCCCCTTACATTGTACATTAAGTTACATTGACATTAAACTTTAAACGGACTCCAAAATGAATGAATCAGTACTAGACAACAAGTCTTGGGATAGTTTCGGGAGAGTTTGGGATAGGGGTTCAACCAACCCAGGGTCAATGGAATGGCTACAAATCGTGATCTCAGAAAGGCAAAATTTAGCATAAATTGTGTATAAATGGTATCAACCAAGCAGTTCGTGTGGGTAGAAGCGGATAGCATGAGATAAGTTTCCCAAAGGTGAACCCTCGCAAGAATGAGGGTCTAACGGCTTCTGAACCACCAGCAAACAAGAATGAGACTTATTGCACATGTATTGGGATAAACTACCATTACCATATCTACCATTTACCTACCACTGAAATGTACCAATAACAACAAATCATGGATAAAGTTGAGACTTGCCTCGAGGCTTCTCAAACCGGTATAGCAATGGTTACAGGTTCACTTGACTGAGACAGCCTCAGGTTTACTTAGGGCAACCAATTTGAGTGCCCACGTGTCCACTTGTAAGTAAGCTGTTTCGTTCTTCTATAGAATCTGATTGGCAGTCTGGCTTTGATAATGAGATCCTCTAAAGTGGACATAAGTAGACCAAGTGCAACGAATTCACATGTCCCCACCTTTTGTTCCCACCACTTATGATACTTGTGGGCGAAGCAACATATTGTCGCCGAGGGGGAGAGAGAGAGAGAGAGAGAGAGACAGAGAAAAAAACAGGTGTGGAGGATGCTTTAAGCTGCACCTCTGCCCACGGATAATTGTAGTCCTCCAGTGGGACTTAGAATGATGTTCAGGTTTCCAAGCATTGATCATCATACACTTAGAATGTCGTTTCTATCAGGGGTCATGCTAAATGTATGAAGCCTGCAAAAAACACATGATGTGATTTTGCCCCAATAATTGTAGTTTTTACTGTTCTTATAGTGATATATATATATATAATGTTTCATTGGGCTGAAGGAAATGTACGGGAGATAATAGTTATGACCAGTTAGCACAGGACTTTCTTGCAGATTTTCTCATCTGAGTCTGGGCATGTTTCAGCAAACCATCGTGAAAGCAATGACTGGGCCGCGTGGCAATTCCTTCTTCTGTCGGTCTTGTTCTTTCTTCATGTCATCCTTAAAAGGTGTCCTTTCTTGGCGGCACTCTTCAACCTGCGAGGGCGAACCCATGCAAACCCACGGTGAAAGAGTTGGGGCCTTAGGTCATGGCAGGAATTTGTTGCCCTGAGTCATCTACAAATAAAATCAAACAGTATATCTATGTACATCTATTCTTATAGTAATAGTCAACAGTAAACAGTGTACGATTTACTGCTTGTATCTGCTTACATTTACCCCAGAAATCACCCAAGAGTTTTCCCCATGGATGAGCTGGGCTGGTTACCCGGTTACCCCCCCGGCCTCTGGCCGTAAAGCATGGCCATCTCGATGTTCATGGTTCTTGGCGTGATATTTCGGTACTTGCTGCCTGTCAGTGATCCCTGAGCCCTGCCTTGATATGACCGGTCCATTTCCATGACCGGCGTAAGCATTTTGCGCCCAAATGGGCACGGAAAATCAAAACCACTACGTTTAATACCAGCTATATAATGACATAAGCAGTAAGGAATAAATCCGATCAACTTTGCATGCCTCTGTATTCACATGGAGTATTCAGATCTTCAGTTCTCAAAATGTAGTCTGAATAAGCCCTCAAAGCATGATCCGGCATCAAATGACTGGTTGTCATCCTGCATCTCAGGACATTGCTAATCTTAGGTAACCTGATCAGGACCTGATGAAATGTTCATTATTCGGTAGCGAAAAAATATTCTTACATTACAGGCGTTCAAATAAATGAAGCATCCACCCATCAACCATTCACCAGTCGTTCCCACGAAAAATGCATCCCCCACCATCAACTCAGCGGAAGCGCCGGGTCCTGCTTCTTGATGGAACCACAGCACTCCATTGGTTGCTTGGAAGCCTTTCGAGGCATCTTGCACGCCCTCCAGCTTCTCACCTGGTAACAATGGCGATTTCACTGGCAATAATGATTTAACATGATTTAACCAACAAAATTGCGCAATGAGCCAGCACAATTTGGGATTTCAACTCGCAAAAAATGAACATACCTGGGGACCAGCAGCATGGGATGTGGATTCAAACACTAAAAACAAACAGGACAGCGAATGGTTAGATGATGTGCCTATTCCTGGCGATTTTCCGTTCCCATGTTCCATTACCAACAGGGACCAAAACTGTAGGTACACCTTTTGTGGATGATGTTCTCATTCCATATGGTGGTTGCATTGGGGTTTCTCAAAGTAGGTGGATCCCCAAGACCAAAATGATCTTCTTTAGATGATTTCGGGGTACCTCCATTGTAGAAACCTCCATTAACATGTCTTCCTCATGTTTGACTACCAATGCATTTCAACGAAAGGAAAGCCACTTGGCTGAGAACGCGAAGAGTCAGACCCAGAAACCTTTTTCTTGTCAAAGAAAACGCTAAGGGGTGTTTGAAACTCAAATCATGGTACTTTAGGATACTTTAGGGACATTCTCGGAACCTGCTTGGTTTATCACCCCTTGGCGCTTGACCATGCCCTATTCTTCTGTACCCCGCCCCTTTGCGTAGGAGCCTCACCCGTTCCCCCAAATTAGTCGATCATTTACTGACTAAACTGGTTGTCTTGCTATGTCTTGCTGCAACCCAACCTGAATCTACCTGATACATCAGCAGGGTTTTGTATAAGCATGTCCAAGCTACTCAGAGTGGTAAATGGTTTACAGAGGAATAACCATGGTTGCTTCATTGAACACATGAAATCAGCAGCTTCTTTGAGGACCGTCGGCTTCGTGGAAAATACGACCAGCCCATTCCAATGAAGCATCTCATATTGTTTCATCTTTTTCCCATATGATGTGTGATAAATCAATGTTGATCCATGTTAGCTGCTTACACCTTCGAAACCTCAAGGAAACTCCAGATGTTCATCCCATGACCGATTGGCCTCCCCGTTTCGTATGGGTTGTCCGATCTATAAATGGGTGAACCAACTATGGCCATTCACATCTGTTCACTACTTATTAAGTGGCTTATCCCATATTATCCCATATTATCCCATATAAAACATAATAAAACTGGGTTACAGTAAAACCCATTTGCGAACCATTTTCTACATGGGATGGATGATACCTATGGTTATAGCTATAATTTTGCAATATATAAACCCATTTGCAAACAGTTTTGTAAGTGGTGATCCTCCAAGCGATTCGTCCCCCCGGAAAACCCAGCGCAGCGCCTTGTGCTTTGATCCGCACGATCTCGGAACGCAGCCGCAGCGTCTCATCCAGGCACTCGCTCTCCTCACTCTCCACTACCTCGGGTGAACCACCAGCCTGGTAGGTAAAGATGGCTTGATTATAACCAAAATTGATCAAAATGGGGTAAAAGCGAACGCGTTTGGGAAAAATTTGAACCAAAATAATCCAAAATATCATCCAAAACAAAGATAAGGATATATCTTTAGTTGAGATGAGTGTCTCAAGACTGGTAGGTACCCCAATTTTATGGTTTTCAGAAAACTGATGATTGAGGGTTAAATTTTGAGGTGCCATCCCACCAGTCACTGTACAGGAAATATCCCACCACTCAAGGGGAAATCCAGGATCCTAAAATGGAGCTACTGCACCCTATACTGTAAGGCCATATTTTGGGGGTATACGGTATACGGTACATCTCCTTACATAGCCCTTACATAGCTATTGAAAATGACCGTTTGATTGTTTGATTTACCTCTTACAGATTGTGATTTTCCAAGACAAACTGTTATTTTACCAGAGGGTATCTCAAAATTCCCAATGTGGTATACATGTAAAACTCCTTTTTGTTGGTTCCTTTAAATATGGGTTCACTATTTTCTGGTTTACATCAGTTACATTCACCGATCAAATCAAGAAAGACACACATATCCCATCATGTTCTCAGTAGATTTCCATAGTTAAATTACCATTGTGGTATGCAAGGCTCCTATCCGTTCTTGTCTAAATAAGGATTTAATGTACCCAGTGGTGGGCATTCATCATCATTCATCCTCTTTTTCCCCCTGGAATGACTAATGGGCCACACAAGGGTTCAATATATGTTGTTTTAGTTACCAGTTAACACCTCTCTCTCTCTCTATTTTTTGCCAGGGCTTCTCAGAGGATTTGCCCCCACCACTCTGTTTCCTAACTCCGTGGTTGGTGGTTTCAACCCCTCAGAAAAATATTAGTCAGTTGGGATGATTATTCCCAATATATGGAAAAATTACTTTACTTCGTGTGATCCCCACCATGACATTTATACATTTTGTTACTGGCAAATCTTCTGGCATTCTATCTGACATATTTTCTGGCATTCGATCTGGCATTCTATCTGGCATATCTTCTGGCATTCTACCTGGCATATCTTCTGGCAGATGTTCTGGCATATCTTCTGGCATATGTTCTGGCATATCTTCTGGCATTCCATCTGGCATTCTATCTGGCATATCTTCTGGCATATTATCTGGCAAATCTGCTGGCATTCTATCTGGCAAACATTCTGGCACTTTATCTGGCATCTTCTGGCATTCTAGCTGACATTCTATCTGGCATTCTATCTGGCATACCTTCTGGCATTCTATCTGGCATATCTTCTAACATTCTCTCTGGCATATCTTCTGGCACTCTATGTGGCATATCTTTTGGCGTGGATACTCGCGGTTGAGGTCCGGCAGGGAACACTGGGCGTGGATGGTCGTGGTTGAGGTCCGGCAGGGAACACTGGGCGGGGATACTCGCGGTTGAGGTCCGGCAGGGAACACTTGGCATGGATACTCGCAGATGAGGTCTGGCAGGGAACACTGGGCGTGGCTTGTCGTGGTTGAGGTCCGGCAGGGAACACTGGGCGTGGATGGTCATGGTTGAGGTCCGGCAGGGAACACTTGGCATGGATACTCGCGGTTGAGGTCCGGCAGGGAACACTGAGCATGGATGGTCGTGGTTGAGGTCCGACAGAGAACACTGTGGATCGCGGGTCGCAGTTGGACGAGGAGGACGACAAGGATGACAAGGAGGACGAGGAGGACGAGGAGGAGAGGAGGAGGAGGAGGAGGACGAGGCAGGAGGAGGCAACTGACATAAAATCTAACAACCCTCACCTGGCAGGTGGGGAATTAAAAAATGTTCCAAACCACCAACCAGTAAATCCTGTTAAATCCCTATGTTTTTCCAATGGTTTGTGGGTTCAATCGTCATCCTTCCATGGTCCACCCAAGGCGCTCTCCGAGTGCAGCGGCGTCAGCACCGTGCGGCACATCGGCAGCTCCCCGAAAACGGCCGAGGCCGTCTGAATGGCGCGGCCTGGGCGAAATTTTCCGAGGAAAACTGAGGACCCAAGGATTTTCGAGGATTTCTGTGAGGATTTTTGTTGATTCATTGATGATGTTTAAAGGATTTTGTGATCAAATCCAAGAGATTGAGTGGATCTTCATGGAGGTATGATGATTTTTTAATCCCCCAAAACAATGAACTTGAGCAATTGGGAAATAGGATTGAACATGGGTAAAATTCATCAGTTCTTTGATGGTCAGTCGCTCATCACTCATGTATCATGGTAATGTTGACGATTCTCATATCCCTTCATTCTCATTCAATCAGTATAGCCGCGAAAAAGGAGGATATTGAAACCAATCCTGGAGATTCTACCTGTTGCCAACTACAAAAATTTTGCCGTTGTTTCTTTCATACCTAGTAATCAACCTACATTGGTCCATGCCAATTTTTTAGTCTCTCGGTTCAAAAAGGGCATCGAACTTGCCGGTGAAATGCCCGAGACCGGTGAAATTCTCATGATTTTGCTGGAAACCCATCAGCCGATTGAATCCATTTGGAATTTCCTGGTTAATATATGTTTGTTCCGTCTATCCATTTCTATCCCGTCATTTTCCCTTGATATGGCTGGTCAAACATGAAACCCCCGGCATTGGGGGATCACCATCCCAGCGGAAACAATTGAAATATGCGTGCGTATGAAAATGGTGTATAACCCCTTGTTATTGCAATTTATATAATGACAATGAAAATTCAACAGTACATAGATGGGCGGTTTTCCGCTATTTTCAAACAAACCCACATATGTCCCCGAGTTGAAATAATTTGTCCCATGGAAATCCCCTACGCTTTCCCTGTCTCATTGAAGAATGATATCTGAAACCACCAAGCAAACCCATCAGTCCATCACCAAGCAGCTCAAGGGTGACACCACCAGCAGTTCGCAGCCAGCACTCACAAAAGGCACACTGCGCAGGCCTTGGCTAAGGCGATGTGAAGTGAACCCTGGGATGTGGCCAAGCTTAGATACCCTGCAGACAATGAGCTGGTCAGTTAAATGGTGGTTATTTGAAAACCAGTTATATTTGCAGTTGATAGTTGTTTACTTTTCAAATGAAAGGTCACATATAATCCAGTTCTGGCGGAAAAAGGAACAACTGGCTCATCAGTCGACCCAGCTAGGTTGCATTTTCGGTCAGTTATATATGCATGCTAAGTAAAATGAGCCCCATGACTCCAATCAACTCCTAGACCTAGACAAAGTTCCATTTTAATTTACCTGTGACAAAGGTCATCTGACATACCCCCTTTTGGGTACTCCCTGTGATGTTTGAATTTATGCCAATCTTAGAGACCCTGAAATATCAAAAAGGGCTGAGCACTGGATACCTCATCATGTAAGGCAGAAGGTTGATTGTATAAAGATGCATCGACAGTAGAACTATACCACAACGTATCAAAAAATGACTCACTTTATTCCAATCAAAGGCTTACCACCAGGGTTTTCCCAAGGCGTACCAACTATACCCAAATATATCAAAATTCCTTACACTAATTATTTATCAATGGTTGTGAAGGAATTTTATCAACCTCATGATCCCATATTACTGAGTAGTATACAATAACATGCCAATAGTTGAATACCCCCAAAAAAAAGGACCATATATATCTCCAAATAGAAACAACTGTATGCAAAAATAAAACCAATCATCAAACAAAAAAATACCTGCAATAATATTAACAGTATGTATGTGGGTAGATAGATGGATGGACGGATGGATAGATAGATAGATAGTTAGATAGATAGATAGATGATATGATATATCATATGTCATGCAGTGATGTGTATATACCAAGTGTACATACCATACCAATAATTCCGCTGTTTCGGCATCTGCCAAGCGTCTCGCCGCCTGCGCATGGCCCAGCTCCGATAGCATCGGGTCGCGCGGAACTTCGTCGACGTCGTGGTGGACGTTGTGCCTTCGTCGAGGAACCGCGTCGTGGGGGCCCTTCTACAACTGGCCCACATGGCCCAAATGCCCCGGGCATGGAAAAGTTCCAAGCTTATCCCCCACATGTAGTTACTTAATTATACGGATGTGTACCTCTAAATATATCTTTAATATTATATATATATACATTTACTGTAATAAACATACACCTGGATACACAATCATAATTCGATGAGGTTTTCTTGTTAACTCATCCAAACAGCAAATGAAAGGAATATGCCCAAACTATATCAAAATATTGTGCAAAATATAGGTAAGTATACCATAAATGGAGTTGATAGCTGCTGCAAACGAGTAGCTTAAGTTATGGTATAGCAGCAACGATAACTGGAATGTTCGAACGTTTCAAGATGCAATGGATTAGTTTGCTGAAAAAATGCAGGAAACCCAATTCTTTTTACCATGTTTTTACCCAAATATAGAGAGAGATATATATATATATAGAGATCCATAGTTAGCCCCTTGGTCACCCATTTCGCCGCCAAACCTGGCGCCGTTGCATCCAGGTCACAAGCTCTGTCCATGCCGCACAAGGAGCACTTGTCGCCCCGGGCACTGCGTGCCATGACCTTGGGGTTGGAAATTGCGGGACTGATCCATTGAAAGGGAGTCATTTACCCTAGGGCCCTAGGGAAATGTGGAAAACAAACATGGTTAGATTTAGATCATTGATATTACATGATATAACATGGGGCTGTCTCACAAAATGGAACCCCAAACCCCCATGGCATATCATAACTCATTGAAACAGCAAGTTCGGGGTGCGCCCCATACTGAGACAAACATGGCGATGGCGGTATGGTCATCCATCCCGTCATGGGAGTCTTCATTTATATCCTCCGGATTGGTAACATCCCCCCATTTGGGGAAAAAAAGCAATGGCACATGTAGACGAAGTGGTTCCACGCCGTTGCATGGCACTCGGCAAATCTCGGCAACCGCGGCCTATTTGTGAACACATTTGGGGTGCACTGAGGCCCCTACCACCTGTGGTCATATCATGGCATTGCTGAGCTACCTTCCTCTGAGCCAATGAAAAGCACCCGGCACCAGGGCTGTTCAACGGTAAAGTTCCATGGCGGAAATCAACTATCATCAACGATCAAACATGGGATTTAACCAACAATGGGAACAGAATGGGCACAGTATATGGCATGCCCTTCACAGCTGAGTATTTCGTAGGCAATGGCAGGGATGGGCCCCAAAGTATTGGTGGAACATTGAGAAAACCCCACTGCTCTGAGTCCCCAAGAATCATGGGACATACCCCTGAGGCTCTTGGCCCTCATTAAATCTTAGCATGTCTTGAACAATCGAAGGGACAGCCGCAAACCATGACAACCAAGTTGAACCAAGTTGGGTCGAAGGATTGATGGGTATGTTCCATATATATATATATCTCTTTGATTAGCGCACAGTATGGCTGCACGGTTCCTACCAAGTCAACTGACTATGTCAAACACCTTAGTTTCATAGACTTCAACAGGGAACAAGGCTTCCAATATCTTTCAATTCCGGGAGGCCGGTCAAATCCGGTCCACATCTATATGAGTTGATTTAGAGCAGTACTCCCACACAAAAAACTGTGCTTCTGCAGCTCCGCCTCAAATGTACGAGCAAGAGCTGAATCATCTGGTACTTAGTGCTGAAGGCAAAGGTGGTAGGATGATTTGACACGCCCTTTCTTTGGTCTCCAGAATCGTCAAGACTGCCAGCTTTTGCATTCGCGACACACGTCTAAATTCTATAGGCTGGTGCTCACAGCCTGTCCCATGATCTGGTTCAATCATCCCAAATCTGCATGATAAAGAAGCCAATTGTGAAAACAATCGCCAACATTTTTTGGATTGGTGGCACGGCGGTCTAAGCGCCAATTCCCACTTGTTGTGTAGCTGTTCTTCCCAATTTTTCGGCTGAAATCTGGCACCAACCCGCTTGGCGCGCCATCCCAAAACCCTCTGATCATCTGCCGGATCAACATCAAGGTTCCTGGAGGATCAAGATTCAAGGCTTCAGGACTTGTACGGAGCTGGGTCAAATGAGGTAACAAGATGCCCCAAGAAACAACCCACTGATGTGTGCTAGTCCATCACAACCTGATGGCATGATTCCAATTCATAGGCGAAGGACTCTTAATTTAGAAATTTGAAACCAGGCGATAAACTGCTGGTTGTTGGTACATGTGGATGTTTATCTCAAACCAAACCAAGACCTCGTAAAGTTTGCTTAGTCCATGGCCACTCTGAGCCGTATTCCAAACAACACACGTGAAATCGGCGATCGGCCACAACCAAACAAAAACTGCATCACCAAAGACATGCCATACCCCCCGGTCCCTGCAAGGGAAGGCCCGGTCCGGCTTGTGAGAAGAAGTTCTGAAGCACCGCAGTTGCGCACTTCCTGCGGGTTTATTTGAGGTGACAATGGGCCATTCACAGCAGTTCTGATGGCAAAATGTTGCCTTTTTGTTCCCCCAAAGATCGGCCCAGCATTTGGATGGTATCCAGTCAGGCGGTCTACCACTAAAGAAGAAGTAAATGGATCTTTGGGCGTCAAAAAGGCCTAGATCCACCACTATATTGAAAGATCATATTCCTGAGAAGCGACATGTTTGCCTCCCTGCTTCTTGGATTTCTTGGGCACAATTCTTTGCCGTCCATGTCCACAAGACCATTGAAACCATCTAAAGCTGATATTTCCCGTCCGCATTCACGTGCCAAGTCAATCCATTAGCATACCATTCGTATCCATTCGTTACTAAAGGTGGTTTGTTGAAACTGGTGCCAAGTGAGGGCCCCGAGATGGGAACCAACACGGACCAACCCCTTCCGGCCGCAGAAGTCGCATCCGGCGCGATCGCAGCCTTGGTGCTGTGACACACGGTGAAGATCATATCATGGTCGTAAGTGGCTAATACCCTCAGTTAACAAATCCCAGATCTAAAAATTAATATAATATATGCTATGTCTGTACATTATATTTATACAAACGGGAATATGACTCATCTATGGAGTGATTTTTGGATTACATTATAAATGCTACTAAGCGGGGTGATCCTCCATCCCATGCCGTTCTGACCACCCGGACCCGAGCTCCAGTGGTGGAGAAATGGGCACAAATCAAGAAAAATAAAAAAAAAAAGATACTAAAGTGATATGCTAGGCCTGCATGAACTCTTGCCATCCAATGACTTTTATGTGGTTCTTCAAGAATGAAACTAGAGTGTGAATCATCAGACTGTGCCTCGCACTTCCATCCTCAACACTCTTTGGAACTGTTTTTTTCCAGCGTGACCCTTATATAGGCATCACTCATGAAACTCGGATGCCTTAGGCATCACTCCTGAAACTCGGATGCCTTAGGCATCATCTATTGTTGTTCTGATGTTGCTGAATAAATCTGTAGAAGTCGCCCACATCGTGCTCCTCGTAGGGGATGCGCAAGCGATCTAACCATGCGACTTCTGCGGTTTGCGACTTGCCTAGGCCCGTGCTATCGCGAACCTCCTGCAGTTTCGTCTCATCTTTGAGGTCCTGCAAGGTTGTCTGGTTATTCTGGCCGGGGCAAAATGGCCAAAGCAACAACAAAAAACATGTTTCAGTTTGGACTTTAGATTTTGCTTGATCTTGTTGGATGTTTTTTGGCTAGTTGCTTCTTCTGCGATTCAATGCGATTCTTGTCAAACCCTGCCCTGTCCTCCCAAGCCATTTTCCCACATCCCACTTTCCCTTCAAAGTAGAAAACGTGAAACTTTTGCCCTTGCTGACCGGCTTTGTCCACGTTCTCCTTCCAGTCGGCAAACCAACGGCACCCCCAGGGCGCGCGGTAGCGGTTCTCCTTGCATTTGGCGGCCGCTTTCAAGAGTGCTTCTTTCTTCCTCGCGGTCCAGGAAGCATCATTTTCTGCTTGCCGAATGAGGAGAACCTGACCCATCGCCTCAGCATCGCTTTTCTTGAATAGCATCTCTTGTTCCGTCAGCTCCTCCTCGACTGCGCTGAGGTAGGCTGCTGGATCCACGTTCCCATAGAGTGCTTGGCAGAAACAACTTCCGCATCCTTCAGGATCTTCAACGTGGTCGCCGAGCCCGCTCTGCTTATCGGTTAAGAAAACACAGGCCAAGCTGCAGAGGCTTGACTGTCCCTGTGCTTCCTTAACCGCATCATCCCACTCCTTAGCGCTCCAGCATGTGATCGACATCTCCCGGAAACTTCAAAACATGTCAAAACTAAAGCAGGGTGATGGCATCCATGGGGTTGTTTTTTGTGTGTATAAACTTAAAGTTTAAGGTGATTTAAAGTATAATGTAGCCCGACAGCCTTCACAGTTTACAGCTTAGACTTACTTTGGGGTGTTCTGGGTAACGGCCACGGCTGAGCAAACAGCAACCGCTCCAGAAAATGGTACTCACTTGTGGCCGCTAGCCTGTGGCTTCTAAAATATCTACTATTATGAGAATTTCTGCGAGCCACAAAATGGAAAGCATATGAAAGCATCATGTTGTGACCCATGTTTCCCCTTTTAATCCCAATCTAATCCTCATTCTGGAACATCACCAAAATCATCATTTCCTCACGCATCCTGATTCTGAAAACTTTGTGCGCAGGTAATGAAAATATCATCGAATCTGCATGTGCCATTCAAAACATGATGCGTGAATGAAGGTTTCAAATGGTTTCAAAATGATTCTAGGAGAATGAAAATGAAATGACGATGTTTCGCCAGTTTAGAGGGAAACTACAATTGTTCCACTAATAAAATGATGATGGTGATGATGATGTTGATGATGATGATGATGCCCCTGGTTCAAAAATATGTTTGGTTCGAAGATAAAATCAGGATTTCATGGTCGTTTCAGGAACAAGTGATGTTTTTGGAGGATGTAATGAAGATTTGTCGGTGATTTACTGAGCACTTGATGAGGACCTCAGGAGAAAAACATTGTTTTTTAGAAACTTCAATGATGTCAAGGATATGTTTTTTGCCTAGCTTGGGTTGCACTTGGATCAAGGACCACTGAGTGTCTCAATAAACGTCATGCTGCTCCCTGCCGACCTATGCTGGAACCACAAATGCTGGTCGTGCCACATGCAACTTCAATGCCGCCCTCTAGGCCATCCAAAATATCCCAAAAAGTAAAACCCCAAAAGCTCCTGTTAGGCTAATTTCTAACTATTAGGTTGTTCCCCACATTGACGTGTGGGGTTTTTGTTTTTAGTTCTGTATCCGCGCCTCCTCCTTCTCCTTCCCGTCCTCCCTCCTCAACACTCACTCACACACACACACTCACTCACACTCACTCACACTCACTCACTCACACACACACACACTCACTCACACTCACTCACTCACACACACACTCACTCACACTCACACACACACACACACTCACTCACACTCACTCACACTCACTCACACTCACTCACACACTTAGAAACACCCCGAAGGGAGACGATGAAATGAGACGAAATGAGAATTCATGTTTCCTCATGCTGGGTTTTTGGCTTTGCCCAGTTGCCATACTGAGATTACTGCAGGTACACACGGTTGATCAGACCGTGCATCCCACTCCAAGGCATAGCTTCATTGCATTGGGTTTGCCAAGGAGTGCCCAATGCCCCTGCTCGTTGGTATACTAATTCAAAACGAACGATCGAAACCCATGTGCTGCACGCCTGAAGATGCACAGATGTGTCGGATTGGAACTTATATGCAACATGGACTTCTTCGCGCTAGCTACCTTGAACATGTGGTCCCAACCGAACTAATCACCAGAACATTCTCTTTGATTCAGGGTTCAGCACATACACTCACTCACAAGACACGCAAATCTACGGATTGAGGAAGAAACATGCTGGTGGCGCGTGATAGGACAATCATCAAACTTACCAGGTCATCAAGGCAATCCTGGGCACTGACCTTTCGGATCTTATACTAACATACATGCAAAGACTGCTGCGAACTGGGTTGAACATGCTCAGCTGTTATGATGTTTTTCGATACACTCGCAAGTTCGTAAATCTACGGTCGAACCACTCTCCACGATTTCGCAAGATGCCTCACGGTGCAGTGGGCTTCTTCGTGCCAGCTATCTAGAACATGTAGTCCGAACTGAACTACCACCGCAGGGCAAACGGCACTATAGGATGCATGTTGAAAAAAGTCTCAAGGGACGGCCCTATAGGACATCGACTGGGGTCTCAAGATGATGCATCATGCTACGTCAAGCTTGACCTAGGATACATGTGTACAAAACACATGATTGAACTGTGTTCTCCACTGATGCGCTTAGCAGGAGTCATTTTCTTGACCTGGCGGATGTTTTTAGTGACGCTTTGCTAAGTTTGAGCTTCCTTGATCAAGGTGGTATGGATGTTTGGTGCAAGTAATTTTGGTTTATTTTCGAGATCATACAATCAAACCTTGTGCTTCAATGAAAATTATGAAAAGATGCTGCGCATCAGAGATTCCCAATGGTTTGCACGTAATCTTTCAACAGCAGGGATTTGGTCTTGCATGTGTGAGACAGGTAACTTTGTGTTGGTTTGGCTCAGTTTTTTTTTCCAGCAGCTGCTGGGCGAATGCCTCGGGATGCAGGCCTGGCCTGTGGAACATGCTGGGACATGTGATTGGCAAGGATTTGTTGTTATGTTTTTTCCAAGGGCATTAAGCCTCAAGTTTGGGGGGATATATATAGGGTTATAGATTTGGCCATGCCATGCCGGTCAGCCCAACAAAAAGTTCGCCGTGACCGTTTAGTGGGAGAAGTGGTGAGGCGATTGCATAATAAGTTGAAGAAACCAGACCAGCAAAAAAGAATTGCTCTGACCAGTCGGCTCCTTCCGTTGGGTTCACTTCGGAAGAGGAAAGTGCAGAAAATTGTTGGTGGCTGGCCCAATGAATACCATGGCCGCAGGTGTTTCACCAAAGTATTGGTGAAAGACGTCAATGCCATCTTGAGATCCAGGTATGGGTTGGAACCATCTGATGCAGAGGAAAGTCGGATCAAGCGACTGCTGCAAAACGTTAGGAAGAGAAAACTAGGTCTTGCAGCCATGGTCGTGAATCCAGATGAGCTGGAGACACTCCCGATGAACCTTGAGGAGCGCATGTTTTCCAACATAGATTCTGCCAGAAGCTTTTGAGAAAACATGGGAATCTGTTTTACCTTTTTGCATGGTTGTTTTGGAATCATGAGGGCACATGTGCCAAGCACAGCATTGAGTCATGTCCCTAGGAGGATTTTCCACTTCCTGACCTGGAGAAGTCTCTTGGTGCGAGACTGCCCATGTGGCTGCAGCTGTCAATGCAGCTATAGTCACTATAGTCAGTGGTTCTGTTTGTAGCTCAGGACTGATGATGGCAGTCCTAAGTGCCGACCTGTGAAAGTTACTCAGCTGAACCTTCTTGAAAGTAGTTGGAACAGTATCATCAACAAAACTCATATATATATATATATATATAAGTACATATATATATATATGTTTTTTGTTTGTACATCTACCCATGGAAAGTTTATTTTTGTTTATTCAAATAATATAATAGTTATTTATGTATTTATGTATGTATGTATGTGTGTATGTGTGTATGTGTGCATGTATGTATCCATGCATGCATGCATGTAAAAATGTAGGGTGTCAACATCTAAACCACTTAGTTTTAGATTTAGGGGATTTTTGTGGTATTTAGGTGTCGTTTTAAATTCCAAAACCCACAGCATCAATGCCCACAGAAAAAAAAAGTAACTTGAGATCATGCTATCCTCCAAAAAAGGGAACATTGGTTTCTTTGTTCCTTTTTTTGGGGCATTTAAACACGTTCCAAAACCTGCCAGCCCAGAATATCAGGCTGATGTTGAGATGCCTCCACCACCTGTCCCACCGCGCAAGCTCTTGGGTGCCTTTGCCAAGGCGCCCAAATTTATTTGAAAATTCGGGTGAAAAATCATGCGGCCCACAAATCGTAATAGTTGTTCCCCTCCTTACTGATGCCTAATTTAGTCTCTGATCCCATGAACCCCTTCCAATTTCAAAACTGCCAGTGCAGATTTCTGCTGACCACCGATGCAGGTGTCTTCGGATCTTCCACAAGCTAGTGACGCCGACTCGCAGGTTGAGGATTGGAACAGTGGGGCCATTGTTTTGCTCACTCTGTTCTTGCGACCAGTGTTTTGTAAAACTATGTTATTTTTTAATGTTTGAACATATGGGTCATCACTGATCTTTGGGTTCTAACCATCGTATCGCTGGCTCATGGGGTTTTGAATTTTGATTTCAAGATTCTGTTCATCTTTGTCGGCGCAGGTGTTCCCAAATCATTTCCATATATGTTTAAAACCAATCATCAACTCTGACCTCAACTGTTTCTGTAAGTGGCCCCACGCCCCCCAGCCGTGAGGATGGTGACTACGAAGGCTCTACGCACTACAGTGACGGCGCCCTTTGTCAGCATAAGATGTGTCCTGCGCTGTTCGCTCTTGGGATCCACGGGTGTTTGCATGTCTGAAGATTAAGGCACACCTTGTGTCTATTGTGAATCATCATGTCTAATCTTTATTTTTGGGTGTCTGCCTTGATGGAATTTCAGAAATGATGAAACGGAATTGAATCTGACATCACCAGTAATGTTGAGTACTAGAGTTTTACATCCAGATTCAATGGAAACATGTTCCTTCACCTATGAAAATTTCATCAAATCATGTTGAAAATAAATAAGTGGATCAACCACAACTAGGTGACATACGTTTGGGGTGGTTCACTGTCACTGTCCGCTGGCTCAGGAAGATTGTGCTTCTGATGATCAAGATCAATGGGAGCCGCATGAGCATCTTCTGGGTGAGGGTAAGGGTGCGGTCGATTGGTATCCCGCTGGCCAGAGTTACATGTCCCTTATAGGTATGGGTCAACGATTGTAATTTCAGTCACTTAACAAACATTTCCCATATATCCCGTAGTAGATCTCACAACCATTTGAGGTTGGGAATCCGGTGATGATCCCTACATGTGGGCATGTGATGCTGTGGAGGGGAGACCCTGCTCTGTGTGGCCATCTGGTTACTTGGCATGACGTTTACAATAATTTATATGGTGCTGTCAAAATTCCAACACTGCCCTCGCAATTTGTGGAAACATGTGGAATCTAAGTCCCCTGAAAAAAATATTGCTTTTTTACCT